ACCATTAAGCGTTTATACGAAAAATTTTCGACTGGTAAGGCTCTTTCTAATCCGAAAAGGCCATATACAAGACGACCAAGGCGATCTGCCGAGAATTTCGCTGCCGTACGAGCCAGTGTTGAGAGATCCCCAAGAACATCCCAAAAACGCCATTCTCAGCAGTTGGGCATGGCTCGGTCCACTTTACAACGGATTATTCGCATTTGTTCCCGTACAAAATTCAATTGACGCAAAGAATGTTTCCTGCGGACAAGCCTCGTCGATTGGAATGGGCTCAAAGGGCCCAAGTCCACAGGGCAACCCTGTGCATTGTTGGGTCTAAGATAATTATTTCGATGAGTTACAAACGGAATGACAAAATGAATATACCCTCCATAGTATGGTGGAGGATATAAAAATAAAATTTGGTAGTAGGAACGTTATTATTGGGAGCGTTTGAAAACTGACACTATTCCTGATAACTCTCGAAGGGAGCATTCGATTTGATCCAAAATTGGTACATCGTAATATTTTTGTCAAACTTAATTCGAGTTCGGAGATGGGCAATATCGGTCCACTGCTTCTGGAACCTTCCACTAAAAATGTCAACAAAAAATCTGAAATAAGCATCCAATTCTCTTCATATTTCACACATACCATTATTTCTACTAACACAATATCTGCTGTGAAGATGGGATGTATCGATCTACTCTTTCTGGTACCTCCCCCCGCAAAGGGTCAACATTTTGAAAAAACAAAACGCTCAATGAAAGTGAAATAAGCATCGAATTTTCTTCGAATTCCACACATTCCTAGATTTTTGCTAACACAAAATCTGTTGTGAAGATGATATATATCTGCGAACGCCTACTGGTACCTCACCCTTAAGGGGTCACAATTTTCAATATCCTTATCTGTCATAACAGCGAAACAAGTCAGGCATTCTTTACAACTTGGTATATCCACGTCCAAAGCATTGCAAAAAAATCCTTAACAGTCCTTAAAAATATCCTTAAAAGTCCACGTTTAGATCCTTCAAAATATATGCTTAAAAGTCCACGTTCATATCCTTAAAAGACCAAGTTCAGATCCTTGAAAATTATCCTTAAAAGCCCACGTTTAGAAAAGGAAAATTCCTTGAAAAGTATCCTTAAAAATTCACCCATAGAAATTGAAAAATCCTTAAACAATATTTTTTAAAATCCAAATTCAGAAATTGGAAGGAACTTGCAAAAAATATACTTAAAACCCAATTTTTTGGTATATGGGTCCTAGTAAATTATTTTTAAACATATCCAAAAGGACCCCAGAAAATATTTTTAAAATATACACGTTTTGATATTGAAGGGTCCTTAAAAAACATATTTTTAAAAACTTGACGTTAATGGAGGAATATTCACTTAAAAATCAACATTTGAATAGTGAATGTGCATAACACTTACTAAATGTGCATAACACTTACGTTTAACATACGGAAGATCCTTGATAAAAAATAATCTTAAAAAATCCTCATCTAGGGAATAGAAGGTCCTGGAAAAAAATATTCATGAAACAAAAGGTACTTGGAAAACAAACCATTAAAATCCAGGTTTAGAGATCGTGATGTTCATTAGATCCTTGCATTAGAATTGGAAGGTTCTTGTGTGAAAATATAAAAAAACACAATCCTTTTTCAGCGATTGAAAGGTCCTTGAAAGGTTTTGGGGTGCTTGAAAAAAAACATCCTTATAAATATTTCCGTTTAGAAAATGAAATGTCCTTGAAAAAAAAATTAAGAAATCTAATCTTGTTGATATAAACCTGAAAAAATTTCGTTGGTCCTTAAACAATTATTCATTAATATCCATGCTGGTTGGTCTTGTGGTTCTTAAAACATATCCGCAAGAGAGCGCTTGACTGTGTGTGTTTGGGTCCTTGAAAAAATATTTCCTAAAAAAAACACGTTTGTTGGACCTTTCCTGTTCTTAAAAAAAAAAAAAATCTCATAATATCCACGTTTGAATCCTTCAGAAAATAATATTCTGGGCTTTGGGATCCTTGATTTTTATACCCTACAACACTATGTGTTGGGGGTATTATAAGTTTGATTGGACCAAAAATTATGTAACACCTCGAAATATTGGTTTCCCATATAGGAAAGTATATATGGATCTTCCTATATCGCCGAGCTGAGTCGATCTAGCCATGTATGTCCGTCCGTTCGTCTGTCCATGTTAGTTTGTAACCACTCTACAGGTCGCAATTATGCCCCGATCTTCACGAAATTTAAAATGTAGGTGGTGTTAAGGTCAGAATAGAACTCTATTTTTTTTTTGGAGATGATCGCATAATATTTTGGGGTTGAAATGGACCAAAAACTAAAAAATTTCCTCATTTTGCAGTTGCTCTACAGGTCACAGTTATAGACCAATCGAAGCGGAAATTAGCCTTCCAATTTTGATGATCATCGGGTAATATTTACTGGTTGAAATAGACCATAGAATTTGTGATAAATTAAAGTCAAATTTTCAATTAAACCGCTAATATTTTTAATGCCGGCGAAATCACAAATAGACGAACAGGTCAATTCTGACCGTTACGTAGATGCCGATAGTAAAAATATCGGATATATATGGCGAAATATATACAATGTATATATACAAAGGAAGGGGATGTTAGCTAGAATGCTTATATCTCCAGAATGGCTGTAGCGATTTTGACAAAGTTTGTAAATTTGGAATGCCCTTTTAGCATAGAAGTATAAAATCGAAAAAAATCGCATAAAAAGATGCCAATAATGATGTTTATATAGATTTTGTAGTATTTTGTGACATTTTTTTATTTTTTTCATATTTTTTATCGCATGCGATTTTTTTAATTTGACTTATAATATTGAAGTGTATAATTTGTATTATTTTTTCACCTAACAACACAGGTTGAGGTTATTATTTATATACAGATTGCAATTATCGTCCGATCCTCACGAAATGTTTCACAAAGGTAGGATTAGGCTCAGAAGGTCTAAGCCTATTGTTTTCAAAGATGTCCGCAATATATTTAGGGTTGAAATGGACCAGCAACTCAAACTGTTCCTGATTTTGCAGCCGTTATAAATGTCACAAATAGAAACACGACATCTTGCATTAAGATAGAGTTTAAGACAGGGGGTAGAATGGACCACTACTTTTGTGTGACAAAAATACCAACATTACTTACAGGCGATATCCGAAATACACAATAGGCGAACTTCTGGCTTTTTTATGCTAACTTCGTTGACGAATATAGCCACATATCGTAGACAAGCAAATCATATAGATGAGTCTAAATTTGTTACATGCAGAGCGGGTTCTTGCTTTTGGAGGTGATCGCAAAATATTAAGTGGCTAAAATTAACCAAAATCAGAAAAAAATTCCTGATCACACAATTGAAGCCAATCGACACACCTGAAAAGGGAGTTAAGGACAGGGAAGGATTCTAGCATTTTGGATGACCATTGGATTATATTTAGCTGTAAAATGGACCACAACAACTAATAGTTCGACGGAGTGCGTAAATATTGGGCAAATGTCCCTGGTCAAAATGCTAAGAGTAATATGTGGGCAGTGCTCCGTGACAGAATTTCAAAAGTGAAATCTTCCAAAATGGTTGGAATGGACATAAGGGGGTTTCTAACATATTGTAGTGTTGTAGGGTATCACATGGTCGGCCTCGCCCGACTACAGCCTTTGCTTACTTGTTTTTTTTTTTTTTTTTTGTTTGTTTGTTTAAAAATCCTCCTTTGTTGGGTTTTCTGTCCCAAAAATTTGTTGATCTTTGTACCTAAAAATTATGGTTGGTCCTTGACAAATTATTCTTTAAAATCCGCGTCTATTGTTCTTTTTTCTTCTAAAATATTCTTTTTTTCTTCTAAAATATTTACACGAAAAAGTGCATTGCTGTGAGTTTGGGTCCTTGAAAAAATATTCCTTTAAAAACCACGTTTGTTGGTCTTTTTCTTAATATTCCTTAAAAATCGACAATTGGGATCCTTGAACATTTTCCCTAAAAATCCTCTTGTGTTGGATTTTATGTCCTTGAAGATTGTTGGTCTTTTGGTTCTTGAAAAACATCCATAAACAGCTCATGGTTGTGCGTGTTTGGGTCCTTGGAAAAATATTCTTTTAAAACCAATGTTTTTATACCCTCCACCATACTATGAAGGGTATATTAACTTTGTCATTCCCTTTGTAACTCCTCAAAATACTTATAAAATTCTGCGTCGATTTAACGATGTCACGCAATCTTTCGAACGAATTGAGATAGAAGGCTAAAATTTTGCAAACATGTATATCTTGGCAGTAGGCAGGTTAAGTTCGTAAATGGGACATGTAGGTTCCCGTTTTCATATGGCCCCCATATAATGGTACCTCCCGATATTCGATATTTTGATGATTTTAGCGACATTATTCACAGGAGTTGTTTCACATTTGATATTTCCAAGTTCCAAAGGGATACTACTACCTATGACAGAAAGTTTATACAGGTCCAGGTCTTCGTATAGCTCCGATGTAACTGTACCTCCCCATGTACGGTATTTTGATGATTTCCACGTCGTATAGACCCCAATATAACGGCTCTATTCCGTATTTTTAAGATTTTAACAGAATTTTTAACGTTTTTTTTTTTTTTTTTTTGAAAAATTTCAAAATTCTTCAAATGCTGGAGGGTATTCAATGTTCGGCCTGGCCGAACTTACTGCTGTTTAACTTGTTCGGTCTTTTTTTGCTCTCAAAAACAAAAACGTTAAGAATCCACGTTTGAATCCTTCAGAAAATATTCTTCTTGGTCTTGGGATCCTTGATTTTTTTTTCTTTAATCCTCGTTTGTTTGGTTTCATTTCCTTGGCATTTTTCTGGCTCCCAATTTGACGAAGGACTTCACAAAACCAAAACAATAATCCTTGAACCCTTTCCGTCACAGTGTCAATAAAACTTATTGCATTTCATGCAGATAAAACATAAAATTAACATTTTATTATTCGCTCTTTTTTGTATCTTTTCAGCGTTATTATTGTCCTTCCTGGAATCGAAATGGTCGAACTCAAACTATTTGCAACTCTCAAATAAAACAACAACAAAACCCTCCATAAAAATGTTTACAAATAAATGAAAATTGGCAATATCAAAAAGGCTCAAACGCACCACACAAAATATCCGCTTTATCGCATAGACCCTCAAAAGGGTGGCAGGATAACGTCTTCACCCACAAAAAATAAAGAGAAACATAAACGAAAATTTTTATGGGACGAACATGAAAAGCCTTTACAATGAAATAAGCCATTCGTTGCGTCGTCGTTGACACCGAGCCCAAAAACGCAGAGGAGGAGAAAAGGGTTATTTGTCCCCATTTATGTTTTACTTTGCACGGGCAAAGATAAATACGGCCATCCAAATATCCAACCACCCATCTAGCCAACATCATAAGCCACCAGCATCCCCCAGACGGCCTCTTGAGCCGTCCCATTGATGAGAAGCAGAGAGAAAAAGCCAAACCATCAAACATTCGGTTGACAGAAGCAAATCGTTGTTGTCATCACCAACGTTCGACAGAAACAACAAAAACAAAATCAATTTTTATTTAATGCCACAACCAACAACAAAAAAGCAATTGTAATCGAAGGAGAACGAGACCAGGAAAACGAAGCCCATAAGGATATACTCCCATAACCATCATACGTGGCCCACTGGAAGCTATTTAATATTCACTTATCTTTGTCTTTGTGTGACACAAAGTCTAACAGCAACAACAATATCAGCAGCATCCCCCACGCCCGAGGACCACCTTCAACTTCGCCCCCATCATGGCAGTGCCCATAGATGAGGGCGTCTTAAGTGCCCTCAGGGGTATCACCAGCCGCAATACACGTCTGCCCAAACCGCTGCTAATAAAAGTTTATGTCTCCAGCTTGAAACAAGGTGAGTCAAGGCGTTGAGCAAAAATTTAATGAGGTCCTATCTTTTATTTAATGAATTTGTTTTATTTTCGAAATGGAGAGCAATGAATTTTTATCAATTTTTTATGGAGATATCAAAATGGAATCAGACGTGTGAAAATTGTTTATGACCTTTCAAAAGACTGTCGTACTGAAGGGTCTACAGAGTGAGATTAAAAAAAAAAACTCCAACAAAGTCGAATGCCATAGTTTTTACATTTTTTTTTTTTTAATTTTATTGAATGAAAGCAAAAAATGTCGGAAATAGCATCAAATGTTAGAATAAGTTTAGATTTGTTCGAATTGGTCACCTTTGGCACGAATTAGGGCCTTCAAATGGCCAATGAAACGTTACACGATGCCCAAATGTTGGTCTGCGGTATTATGGTCCATCCCCGGCGTAGCGCTTGCTTGAGGTGATCAACACTTTGGTGTTGTTTTAATGCCAACCTTGCTTTCCAAAATACTCTAGGCACAATAGTCCAACGGATTGGTATTCGCAGATTTTGGTGCCAATTGTGCGCTACAAATGATGCGAGGAACGTACCGAGTGCGAGGGTGGCACGTACCGAGTGCGATGGTGCTGAGTGCTGTTGGAATGTCCAAGGTGTGCGGCCAAAATGTTAGCGTGCCCAAGGCTTTAATACACCCTCCAGAATATAAGTTAATGTTAGAAGTTAAAGTTTATTTCACACTGCTATGGTGTTTCTTTATTTTGTTACTAACATTTATGTTGCGGTGCTATGCACCTCTCTTGTTGGATTTACAATTATGAATTACTTCAACTTAAAACTAATATTATACTGCAGCCTGGTCGTGCTCGTTATTACGCTGAGTCATCACTTGCGGTGCGCTGGTATTAGTGCGCGTGTTTGTGGCGGATGACTGCCCTGGTGTCATATTCCTGTTGATTTGTCGGACTGCTTGCGCAGCATAATGATGGGAATGTTTACTAGTTGGTTTGCATATTTAGTTTGATGTTTATTAGGGTGAGCCGTTAACTCCTCCCTCTCGAATTATCAAGCGTCTCGATTGATGTGTTTAGAAATATGGCAGATTATAAAGACTGCCGCGTTGATTCAAGTTAATATTGTGGTTTGCTAGTTGTTTTGTTTTGATAACAGATTCTGTTGTGCCGGCTGCCAATTGGCTTTCTGACACAGTCATTTCTATTTGAGGTCTAGACATTCCTTCATGTGGGGTCATTTTTATAATTTTCATACTAGTTTTGCGCCTTTGCCTCATTTTTACTGCCATCAGGAGGATGACCAATGCTAATATGAGACTGATGTTAAAACATAAACTGGTCTTGAATTCAGTATTTAGACGCTCGATTCTTTTATTACTTTTCACGTGCAACGTTTTTAGTAGTTGTAGAGATAGTATTTCTTCGGTGTAGTTGTTTCTAGCTGAGTGTTTTAGTAGCGCAGGCAACGGTTTGGAGTAAGCAGCTTCTTCGACGGTGAAATTTTTGTTGCCTATCCTAATTGTAGAATTACTAAATCTTATTAAATAAGTTCCTGTTACATTTTTTTCGTTTCCATTTATGACAATATTTTCTTTTATGTTATTTATCAAAATTAATCCAGGTTCTATTTCCTCTAAATTATTAATGTGATCTGCATTTACTATTGAACAATTATGTGGGCTATTAGTTACTAATTTAGGAATACATGTATTGTTTGTTATATTGGCTACATTAGATTCTAGACATAATTCAATACCATTTATTTTTTGACAAGGACTTTTAATTCCAAATGTTGCTCTTTCACATTTTACAATTTTCTTATAATCAAGATTTAAAACAGTATTTTGATTTTTACAGGTCTTATGGTTATGACATTACAAATTTCTTTTACAGTTTTGGGAATGCTTATAATGTAAATTATATTAGTACTATTGTTTACAATTTTTATTCGTGCGAAATTTAAAGCTTGTTCAATGTTTTGAAACGGGATTTCATCTTGATTAAATATTTCTTCTATTTTTCTAATTTCTATTTCCGATAAAATAAATGTGTTTACAATGTTGGATTTTGTTAAATGAATGGCCGAATTAATATTCGTTATTTCCTCCTTTAAAACTTCAACTTTGTACTTTGCCTGCAATATGAGGGTATTACGGAAGTCCTCACTAGTCTTTAAAATTTTTGAAATACTATTTGTCGCATTCGTTATCTCCTGCATTCTTTCTATTAGATCTCTGTTGATTATTAACTGGTTATTGCTGTTGTCTGTTAACTCATTGATTTTGTTTTTCAAAAGCATAAGGTCATCATGGTCTGGACTACCTGCCAGCCATTTCCACGCCGTTCCAATCTCATCAAGAGATCTTTTAGATCTCTCTTCAGGCATTAGCCGATTTATAAGGTGAGATAGGGTAGTGATGTCATTATGTAGGAAGGGGAGTAGTGGGTGGTTGTCTGGAATTCCTTTGGCCAAGTCGTCCTTGATCCTCTCTAGAGTGTCATGATATTCCTTGATGTTAATAACATGCAAAATTTTGAATGTCCCTGTTTGTATTTTTCCTATTCCACTCTCTATAAGAACCACTTCTGATTGAGAGTAGTCCAATATTTCTGTGACCCCTAGGCAACCTGTAATTAAGAACTGGAAACCCGGTAAATAAGTAAGTCAGTTTCTGATATGACTCTTATGGACTATTCTCCCTGATTGAGTCAGGACAGTTGAGTGCCTATTCTCCTTTACAACTTCTTCTTTGAAACGTTTAGATAATTTGGTTCCTAATCTCTTGTTCTGTTTGACAAATATTTTCTGACCTTCTTGATATTCTTTTGGTTCTTCCCTAACACGATTATGATTTGCCAAATCATTTTCCTGTTTCCTCAAGAGTCTTTCGTAGTTGTTAAGGCGAGTCCTTTCGTAGTCCTCTGGTCCAAAGGTCGTCGGTCGTCCAAAAAATAGATCTACGGGTTTCTTTCCAATTGACGAATGTATTGTGTGATTGTACTTGTTAACGCTATCTTGCAATAGCTCCTCAAAAGAGTAATCGGGTCGCTCACACTTACTGCAACGCATAATTTCCGATAAGGTCGAATGGAATCTCTCTATTTGCCCATTAACCTCGCTCTTATAAGGCGGTGCCGTAAAAATTTCCATGCCAAGTTCGTCTTCCAACATAAACCGAATGGTCTGAGAATTGAAAGATCGCTCGTTATCAAATACAATTGACTTCGGGACCCCAAAGTAGAAAATTATTTCTCTCAATGGTTTCCTAATGTCTTCAATGCCTTTGCCATTTATCATTCTGGTTACTGCGAATTTTGTAAATTTGTCTATTGCGGTTAAAACTCGAAACTTGTCTGTAGAGAAGATATCTATGTGGATTGTATGCCCAGGATAAGTTGGCATAGGTGTCTTATTAAGTTTGGGAGCGTTCGGATGTCGCTCATACTTATTTTCTTTACATACTTTACAGATATTGATCACATTCTTTATTTTCCTAGTCATGGAAGGGAAGTAATAGCTCTCTAAAATTTGTCTCCTATTCTCGGCATTATTCCTATGTGCTCTGTTGTGAGTCTCAATAATGATTTGTTTTTGTCTCTCCTCATCAGTAACATCTTCAACCATTGTTCGAGCGAATCGTACTTTAATGTTTCTGAAGTGATGAGGGTACAGTGCTTGAATCATAAGCATAACTGGCTCTGAGGTCTTGATGCCGTTGACTACTGTAGGATTTAAGTATCTCTTTAATATGACTTTCAGATCTGATTCCGCTAGACTGGTTTCTTTAATGATATGTCTATGGTAGGAGGGAAATACAATGTTAAATTCATATGAGGAAGCTGATGATTCCTCAATAATGATCTGATTTTTGAAGGTATTTATTGGCACCTCAGCGGAAGGAATTAGGTCTTCCGATGAGTCCTCGGCACTGTGAACCGTGGGCGTTAGGGAGTTAACATCTGTCACTGGTGGTCTCGATAGCGTGTCCGCGACTACATTCGTGCTACCTGGTTTATAAATTAACTCGTAATTATATTCTTCTAACTGTGCCTTCCACTTCTTCATCTTCACATTTGTGTTCTTGTTGCTTAGCGCAAATGTCAAAGGTTGATGGTCGGTAAATATCTTTATGCTTCTTGCTCCATACAAGTAACAATTCAATTCCTTTAAAGCCCAAATTATCGCCAGCATTTCTTTCTCATTTGTCGCATATTCCTCTTCTGCCCTACTGAGAGTTCTAGAAAGGTATGTGATAGGTCTATTGCCTTGAGATAAAACTGCTCCTAAAGCGTATTTCGAGGCGTCAGTAGTGAGTTCAAAGGGCTTATCAAAGTCGGGATAGTTCAAAACGACTTCCTCCGATACCAAACAGTTCTTGAGCTGTTTGAAACTTTCAATCTGTTCGGAATTCAAATTGACACTGATTTTTTTTGACTGGTTTCTCGGGGTTTTCCCTATATCGCCTCTCATCATGGAAGTTAATGGTTTGGCTATTTGAGCATAGCCCCTTATGAATCTCCGATAATGTCCGGTCAAACCCAGGAACGATCGCAAATCATGAACTGTTCTGGGTTGAGGGAAATTAACTATGGCCTTAAGTCTGTCTGGGTTTGCAGAAAAACCTCCTTCCTTTACATTGAACCCTAAGAAGTCAATTTCTTCCTTTAAGAATTCACTCTTGTCCAAATGAACTTTCAGATTAGAGTCTTCCAAAGTGCGGAATATTATCCTCAAATTTTCAATGTGTTCCTTTTTAGTCCTACCAAATATCAAAATGTCATCAATGTAGACGTAGCACCGTTTCCCTATATGCTCTCTAAGAATATCATCTAGAGCTCTTTGGAATATTGCAGACGCGTTACGTAGTCCAAATGGTAGTCTTGTGAACTCGAACTTTCCATTCTTGACGGAAAAAGCTGTTTTCTCAATATCGGATTCCCTAAGTGGAATCTGATGGAATCCGCTCTTTAAATCTATGGTGGAAAAGTATTTCTGTTCGCCTAAGTTAGCCAAG